GCATGGCTGCAGCTCTTCTCGCCCCTCTCTTCCTCTTCACAAGAACTTGGGGAGCAGCAGGAACCATTAGCTCCTCCTGCTGTCAATCAAATGCTGTGAGAAGAAAGTGGGGGGGGGGGGGGTAAGGCACTTGTGTGTCTGTGGAGAATTGCTATGGCAATGTCTATGGCACACATAGCTTGGGAGCGAGCACACACTATGTGCCCCCACAACAAACGGTTTGCTAGGGTAACACACAGAGAATAGGAGGAATCAAGATCTCTGGCAGGGGACTCCAGAAGAGGAGGTTTGGGACCGCTCTGTTCAATACCATTGCACAGAGCAGGTGAGTATAATATGTTTATTATTTTTATTTTTAATAAATGCCTTTGGTAATGTTTTTAAAACATTTAAAAAAATCTTGGCAGTGGATTTATATGGCAAAATATGATTATTGTTAAGGCATCTGGGATCCACAGCTTCAGTGTATTTTTGCCCATTGCGAGGCATTACAGAAAATGCTATTCATGGCTCTATTTATATAACTGCTGGCTCTTGCATTTACTCAACCATGCTTAAAATGTTGTGTTTTGAGAAATATATCCATATGATGATGTATGCATGTCTAAACACAAATGCCAGTGGTTACGGATATATAGCCTCACACTTCAATTTCTGTAAAGCCTCTCAATAGGGAAAAATACTTTGCAGCTCTGGATCCCAGGCGGAACAATGACAAGCATATTTTACTCTGTACAGCCATACACCTAATGTTCTTCCTGTGTGTCTTTTAATTCTCTACTGATGGTGAAATGGCTAGATCCAGGTCATATCCTGAACTTTGATTATCAGTTCACATGTTAACACAGAGAAGATAGATCCTGAAAGCAGATACTGACTTTGGAGGCAATACAGTTATAATTATTCATTTTACGTATGATAGATAATCCCTTCTGGTAGAATAAGTTATAAAACTATGCCTTTATTTCTAATAAATTGCATGTGTGCAAGTATACAAGCTACATTATTTGAATAAACACATTCACTTTATTGTTTACTTAATCTTATCCAACAATGGAATGATATTCTTGCAATACACTCTCAATTATCTAAGGCACTTGATTAATTGGCTTTCATGCCCGGGAAAATATATTATTTACATTGTGACTGAACTCCGATTAGAGCAAAAGAATGGGATTAATCATAAGGCTAGAGATTAAGATCTGCATTGCAGCTGTTCAGCATGCTTCCTGGAACACAACATGCAGCTTGCCAGTGGCTAATTGTATTTTATTGTATTACTCTTTTAAAACATTATATTCTTCTAAAAAGTATTTTCCTCTAACCCTGACATAGCATCTCTCCAGTAATTGTTAGTGCAGTTCATAGCTAAGCATGATTTATTGCTGAGATTCCAAAGGGATTTGTTATACATTGATTCCTCTGCTGATTCAACAAAACTGAATTCTTTTAATAGACTAAAATTCTGTGCTCTATATAAAAAATGAAAGCCACTGCAGAATAAAAAAAAAAGGAAAAAAAAAACTGTTGTTTTCATTTTTCAAATCTAAAGTGATATCATTTTGTTTTAACCTGTAACATTAAAAAGGGACTTGCAGCCTTATTCAATAAAGAGTACAAATTAAAGTGGTAGTACATGCTAATACTAACTATTCTTAAAATGTTCCCTCTTCCCTTCTCCTAGCTATCCTGCATACTTTGTATAAAAAGATCTGTGTATTTACCAATTTTTAATCTGCTCCTGTCCAGTCACAAGATCCTGCAGCTCTGTCTCCCTTGTGTAAGAGAGCTATATCAACAATGGCTGTATTAAAACAATGGGGCTGATTTACTGAGAATAAAGTGAAGCAACAGACACTAGACATTTAAGTTCACCTAATTAAAACATTGGCGAACAGAAAAGCACCATCACATAGGCGAACAACCATTAGTAAAAGTCAGATCAAATAAAACATTTGCAGGTGTAATTTATTTTGCATCCTTTGCTGCTATTATTACTTCCTTCATTAATTCTCTTTCCTTTTTTTTTCTTAAAATATGTTGTGCAAATTAATGCATTTCTTAATTAATGTTACAGAGTAATACATACTATTTTCAAATGTAAAATATCTAAAAAAATTATATGACAAATAATTTTAATGTCTAATTAGAATTTTAACAGAATATTAGGTAATAATTATACATCTTCATTCTTTAATCATGGTACTTATGATATATTCTAGCTGAAACTGTGGTCAGCACAGTGACTTAGTGGTTAGCACTCCTGCCTAACAGCACTTGGGTCCTGCTTGCTAATCCCAGCCACAGCACCACTTACCTAAAATTTGCATGTTTTTTCTGTGCCTGTGTGGGTTTCCTCCCACATTCCAAAGACGTGCTGGTAGGTTAATTGGCTCTAGTATATGTATGAATGTCAGTTTGTGGCCTTAGATTGTAAGCTCCTTGAGGTTGCAGACTGATGTGAATGCACAAAATATGTAGTAAGTAAATTTCCTGTGCTTCATAAGTCCCTGGAATAATTATTATTTAATTAAGAATTTGGCAACTAAGGGCTCATGTTCACTGCAGCTGATAAACTCACGTTTAGGATCTGTTTAGCCTTTTTTCAGCAGTCCCTGAACTCCCCCTAATGTTTTCCTATGTGTCCATGTACACATCTACGATTACAGTTGTTTACAGGCAGTTGAGTTTACAGTCTTTTTTTGAACGCAGCAAACTTGCGTTCAGACTTCGATTTTATCAGTGTTTCAAATGCAAAATGCTTGTAAACGCGGCTTAATGTGGCTAAACGGGGCTATACTCGGCAAATCACGTTTATAAGTGTTTGCGTTTGAAATTTTTTTTAACTCTTCCAGTTACCAAAGCTGTCCAGAGCCTTTTTTCATCATGAAAAATGCATGCAAAGAGTTTTCAAGGTGCTCAGATGGACAAAACACTTAACACAGGATGTTCCTACCAAGCTTATCACACATTGTAATGACCAATTCACAACTCAGTCCTCTCTCACCCTTGGAAACAAAAGATATGTTAATGACCATTCACACCTCAAATTCCTCAAGAAGACTCCCTGCCTGGTGACCTTAATGACTCACTCCTGCAGACACCTTCCCACCCTTGGAAACAAAAGAAATGTTAATGAGCAACTCACACCTAATTATCTCAACAGATACTACCGTCCCTGCTTCTACTGTGTGTATTTATCTGAAACATTCTGAAATAGTTAATAATTTACCACTTTTCAGTGCATTCTGGGCATTTGGGAGGTTCTCCTGTGCTTATCTTTAAAAAATACTTCTAAACGCAAACGCGCATAAACACCTTATGCAAACGCGGCTAATCAGACGTTTTTTAACCCCATCGCGACCCACTTATAAAGCCTCAGTTCTATGGGGATTCTCACTCCTCATTGGCTGAGACAGCAGTAGTTTGTATTGGCTCCTGCTGCTGTCAATCACAGCCAGTGAGCCAATGAGGAGGGGGAGGGGCAGGGCTGAGCCCCTACTCTGTGTATAAATGGACATGCAGAGCAGAGGTTTGGGAGTGAGCATGTTCAGGTGCCCCCAGAACAAGATGCTTCTTCTGGGGGCACTTCACAGGAGGGAGGGACCAGGAATGCTGGTGGAGGACCAAAAAAAAGAAGGATCAAGGCTGCTCTGTGCCAAACCACTGCACCAAGCAGGAAAGTATAGCATGTCTTTTATTTTTAGAGAAAAAAATAACTTGAAAGAAAACACCTGTGATGCCAGACAGTCTGTCACAACAGGCTTCCCAGGGTATGTGCCATGCCTTACATCCCAGATGTTAATTGGCTGAAAATTAAAAAAAAAACACATTGAGGTACATAGCAGCGGTTATTGTTCTTCCTAAATATACAGGTGGCACAGATACAAGGCAAAACTTGGCAGCTGTTCTCCCTCTCCACTCTTGCAAAAAGTCACAACAGCTAGTTATTGAATGTGTTAGTGGCCAGGTCAACTTGGCGTCATTTTGACTGCACACTGGATAGAGAATCATTCACACCTGTTCGGGAGCAGACTGACCATTTGGAAACTTGGCACTGCCCGAGGGCCTGGGGTCAGTAGGGGGCCCCATGAGCTGCCCCTGGTACCTTTTTCATAGGCTTTTTTGAGTTTGGGCAAGGACACAGGGGCCCCATGATCCCCTAATGCCCGGGGCCTCATGAGTTGTCAGTCCGCCCCTGCACCTGTTAATCTTTATTAGCATCTGTGTCCCTGTGAGGGAGAGACCTGAATGTTGGAATTCAGTACACAATTTTATAACTTTCTGTAGAGCACACATTTGTGTCTAGCGCATTTTACTGGCGGATAGCTAAAAAGAGTGGGAAATTTGAGTGGAGAGTGAAAAACAGTTTTACTTTTGACTGCTGGTGCTTGTAGTTGTTTTATTTTCTTCTTTTGGTCTTGCTACGAGCTTTTACTTTTTAAAATCTCTTTTTCTGTCACTTTTTAAATAGCATTTGTTTTCTTCCTTTCCTTGCCTTCCTTCAGTCTGCTAATTAACCACTTGCCTACCGGACACTTATACCCCCTTCTTTACCAGGCCAATTTTCAGCTTTCAGCACTGTTGCACTTTGAATGACAATTGCGCGGTCATGCAAGATTATACCCATATGAAATTTTTATCATTTTTTTCTCACAAATAGAGCTTTCTTTTGCTGGTATTTAATTGCTGCTGGGCACTTTACTTTTTGCGCTATAAACAAAAATTGCAAAAACTTTGAAAAAAAAAGTTTCTTTGTTTCTATTAGAACATTTTTCAAGCAGGTAATTTTTCTCCTTCACTGATGTGCGTTGATGAGGCAGCACTGATGGGCACTAATAGGCAGCACTGATGGGCACTGATAGGCAGCACTGATAGGCAGCACTAATGAGGTGGCACGAATAGGTGGCACTGTTAGGCAGCACTAATGAGGTGCCACGGATAGGCGGCACTGATAAGTGGCACTGATAGACAGCACTGATAGGTGGCACTGACTGGCATCACTGCTAAGCACTGAATGGCGGCACTGCTAGGCATTGACTGGCGCAACTGCTGGGCACTGACTGGCAAAACCACTGGGCACTGACTGGCAGCACTGATGGGCACTGGTGGGTGGCACTGGTGGGCACATGTGGGTGGGCACAGGTGGGTGGCACTGCTGGGCACAGGTAGGTGGCACTGCTGAGTGGCACAGGTGTGTGGCACTGCTGAGTGGCACAGGTGGGTGCACTGCTGGGCACAGGAGGGTGCACTGCTGGTTACAGGTGGGCGGACTGCTAGGCACAGGTGGGTGCATGCTGGGCACAGGTGGGCGGAACTGGTGGGTGGCACTGCTGGGCACCGATCATCAGGGCACTGATCATCAGTGCCCTGATGATCGGTGCCGATCCCTGCTCTGGCAACTGCCGGTTCTTGGCAATACTTTCCTCTCGCTCTGACAGTGTGAGGAAAGTGCAGCCGAGAACCGGCAATTGCATTTCCTGGTGATCAGCGTATCATTGGACACGGCTGATCATGTGGTAAAAGGCCGCTGTGATTGGCCTTTTACCACATCACATGATCAGCTTTGTCCATAGGACACAGCGATCACGGAGATCGCCGGGTGCGCTCCCCCGGGGGGGCGCAGGAGAACGCGTTCTGGGAGGACGTGATATGATGCCCTCCCAGAACTGGCCGGCCACATTGTAGCCATCATTCGGCTATCTGCGGTTGGCAAGTGGTTGTGGGGAGGGGTTATTTGGTCCCAGGTACTACAGGTCCTATATAACTTCCTGTAGAGCTCACTCTGAGCTTGCCTGTATTTTGCTTGCTGGAGCTTTGACAAAGTGGACATTTGATTAAGTGGAGTTAAAAAACTGGAATGGAAAACAGGAGATTATAACAGGAGTCTACTAACCTGTAAGTGACAACTGATCTTTCCTATTAGTAATAATAATATTGTAACTGAGATACGAGTGCTAGCAGAGTTGAAGGTTTTGTGCAGTGCCCAGCGTGCTGCATGTATGCAACAATGGAGCAAACAGCTCCAGGAGGGATACCACTGCAACATATGTGAACGGATTGCCCTTCTGGAAGCTCACGTCAGAGATCTGGAGGAGCAAGTTGCAACACTGGGCAGAACCGACAACCTTGAAAAGGGTGTTCTGCTCCTTGAGCAGGTAGCTAATGGGATTGATGTGGAGGGTGGAGGGGCTAATCAGGATTATCAGGTAAGAAGATGGGTTACTGTAATGAGAGGGAGTGGTAGGGGCTCACAGAAAAGGAAGGCTAACCCTGGGTTTGTGCACCCAAACAGATTTGCCGAGTTGGGTGAAGATGTGGGGGTGGCAAGCTCAGGGGTGGCAGCCTTGGATGTCACTGGTTATCCATAACAGTTGGGAGGGCAGACCATCTTGGAGGGGTGGTGAAGGTAGTGCAGGAAGGCTTAGACAGTTGGTGGTAGTCTCCCGGGTGTCAGGATTCGGCCTGTGGTGGACTGGGTTGATAAATTATTGGGAGGGGCTGGGCATGACCCAGCTGTCTTGGTCCATGTTGGAACCAATGACAGAATACATAGAAGGTGGAGGCTCCTTAAGAATCAATTTAAAGAACTAGTCTGCAAGTTGAAGGGAAGGACCTCCAAGGTGATATTCTCTGAAATATTACCTGTACCATGCGCAACTCCAGAAAGACAGGACGAGATTAGAGAATTAAATGCATGGCTAAAGACCTGTGTAAGAGGGAAGTATTTGGGTTTCTAGAGCACTGGGCTGAAGTTTCATTGGGGTGCAACCTATATGCTAGAGATGGTTTTCACCTAAATGGAATGGGGTCTGCTGTGCTGGTGGAGAGGTTTATGGGGAGGTTGAAGGAGTATTTAAATTAGGATTGAGCGAGTGTAAAAGAAGATCTAGTTTATGGAGAGTGTGATGAGGTTGAAGCATTATGGGTGGAACTGCACATGAGAGTGCATATTACAAAGGTAATCATTGGAGTTTGTTATAGGCCACCCATTGTTAATGAGGAGGTAGAGACTCAGCCCTTGCACAGATGGAAAGGGCTGCAAGGGCTGGGACAGTGTTATTAATGGGTGATTTTAACTAACCGGAAATTGACTGGAGTAATGGTAGTGCAGGAACAGTAAAAGGGCAAAAATGTCTAAACCTACTACAGGACAATATTATGGTACAATTCATAAAGGCCCCGACTTGGAATGATGCTCTGCTGGACCTGGTAATCTCAAACCATGCAGAGCTTATTCCGAATGTCCATATAAAAGAATATCTGGGTAGCAGTGACCATAACATGATTTCATTTATTGTTACCTGTAAATATCAAGCACATACAAGTAAAATAAAAATGCTCAACTTTAAGAGAGCTAATTTTCCAAGGTTGAGAGCTGCTCTCCAACACTTAGATGGGTAGGGAATATTGACATCAATGAAAACAACATAGAAATGGGAGTTCTTCAAAAGTATGTGAGCACACTGCAAAATATATATCCCATGGGCAACAAGTTTATAAGGCTAAAAATGAAACTTATGTGGCTTACGGCCAAAGTTAAAAAAGCTATAGCTAATAAGAAAAGAGCTTTTATTAAATATAAAAATGAAGAAAAGCTATCATCGTTTAACTATTACAAAGAATATAACAGAATATGCAAAAAGGAAATAAAGGCAGCAAAAGCTGAAAATGAACTACAGATTGCAAAAGATAGCATGACAAACCCCCAAAATTCTTCAAACATATTAATAGTAAAAAGATGTAAGCCCTTTACAAAATAATCTAGAGTAGGTGACTGGGGACAAAGAGAAGGCAAATTCCTTCTTCAGCTCTGTGTATACAAAGGAGCATGGGGGAGCTCTTGTCCATAATGGGCATGGTATTGCACAGCCCCAGATGATGCACAATTGATATGTTCCAGAAATATTTAGACAGAATAAAAGGTGAAGAAAGCACCTGAATTGGATGGCATACACCCACGGATCCATAAAGAATTGAGTTCTGTCATTTCAAAGCCATTGTTTCTCATTTTTAGGGACTCTTTAATGACTGGCATAGTACCACAGGCCAATGTGGTGCCTATATTTAAAAAGGGGTCAAAATCTTTACCAAGCAATTATAGACCTGTTGGTTTAACTTCTATAGTTGGAAAGATACTGGAGAGTTTAATAAAAGACCACATAGATGGGTTCTTGCTGTAATAAAATATTTTAAGCAACAGACAGCATGGATTCATGAAAGACAGAAGTTGTCAAACAAATCTGATTTCTTTTTATGAGGAGGTGAGCAAAATCTTGGACAGAGGGGTGGTGATGGACATAGTATACTTGGATTTTACAAAAGCGTTTGACACAGTTCCCCACACACGGCTAATGTGTAAGGTAAAGTCTACGGGCTTGGAAAAATCCATATGTAAATTGGTAGAAACTGGCTAAAAGATCGTATTCAGAGAGTATTGGTAAATGGTTAATATTCTGAATGGTCTAGGGTTGTCAGTGGTGTACCCCAAGGTTCAGTGTTGGGACCCTTACTTTTTAATATGTTTATAAACCATATAGGGTCTGGGATTAAAAATACCATTTCAGTCTTTGCAGATGACACCAAGCTGTGCAGTGGAATAACATCCTTACAGGATGTCTCCAACTTACAAACCGACCTCAATGCACTGTTTTTATTTGGGCAACTATGTGGCAAATGAGGTTTAATGTTGATAAATGTAAAGGTTCTGCACTTGGGGGCTAAGAATATGCATGCATCATACATACTGGGGGGGTACAACTGGGGGAATCAATGGTGGAGAAGGATCTGGGAGTTCTGGTAGATCACAAGCTTAATAATGGCATGCAATGCCAAGCTGTGGTTTCTAAAGAGAGCAAAATCCTCTCTTGTATTAAAAGAAGTATAGACTCCAGAGAGAGAGATATCATATTACCCCTGTACAAATCATTAGTAATACCTCATCTGGAATATGCAGTTCAGTTTTGGGCACCAATTCACAAAAAGAACATTGGAGAACTGGGGAAAGTACAGAGAAGGGCAACCAAACTGGTAAGAGGAGTTTAGTTATGAGGAAAGATTAGAGGAACTTAATTTATTATCTTGAGAAGAGGAGATTAAGGGGGGATATGATCAACATGTATAAATACATCAGTGGTTCATATAGTGAACTCGGTGTAGAGTTATTCACCTTGAGGTCATCACAGAGGACAAGGGGGCACTCTTTACTTCTTCAGGAAAAGAAATTGAATCTCCAAATACGGAAAGGTTTCTTCACAGTGAGAGCTGTGAAAATGTGGAATAGACTCCCTCAAGAGATGGTTCTGGCCAGCTCAGTGGATTTCTTTAAAAAAGGCCTGGATTCTCTCTTGGATACACAGAATATAACTGGTTACTAACATTGATAGGTAAAGTTGATCCAGGAAATATCTAATTGCCTCTCGGGGGATCAGGAAGGAATTTTTTTCCCCTGCAGGAGCAAATTGGTTCATGTTTTGCTGGGTTTTTTGCCTTCCTCTGGATCAACTGTGGGTGTAGGATTATAACCTTTTTTTATGGTTGAACTGGATGGACTTTTGTCTTTTTTCAGCCAGCCTAACTATGTAACTATGTAAATTTCATCTATACCTATGTTTGAATATGTACCTGTTCAGTTCGAGTGGCAACTCTATCCGCAGTGCTCTGCCTGCCAGCTGATGGACCTTTGGCTCCCTCTCCTTATTCAGCTCCCAGGTATCATTCCTCACCAGGCAGATGTTGTGGAGGATGCAACAGGTGAGGATGATACTCGAATAACCAGTATCCCCTGGAAAACAAAGAATATCCATAATTACTTCCCATGCCGACATGTGACCTTAGATGCCCCAAAACAAAATGGAAGTCAAGGGTCAAGCAATTGCCAAAACCTGGTTATATGTGTGCCTAGGTGTGGCCTTAAGCAGCGCATACATTAATCCATTTTCATGTCTTACACCAGGGTTTGAAGAAACGGAAATTGCCTCATTCCTGCATCACCTAACTCAATGGTGAGGGGAATAACATTTGAAGGCATTAAAGTGGTTGAAAAGGCTCATTTTTTTTACCTTTGTGCATTCTATGCACGAAGGTAAAAAAAACCTTCTGTGTGTAGCAGCCCCCCAAGCCCCCTAACACACTCCTAAACCACATCCTGACCCAGCGATATCCATGAGAGCCTCGATTCTCTTGGGACTCTCTCTCCTGATTGGCTGAGGCAGCAGTGGGACCCATTGGCTCCTGCTGCAGTCAATCACAGCCAGTGAGCCAATCAAGAGAGGGAGGGGGCGAGGCTGAGCCACAGCTCTCTGTGTGAATGGACACACACCTGTTCATGTGCCCCCATAGCAAGCTGCTTGCTGTGGGAGCACCCGACAGGAGGGAGGGGCCAGGAGTGCTGGTGGGGACCCGAGAAGAGGAGGATCCAGACTTCTCTGTGCAAAACAACTGCACAGAGCAGGTAAGTATAACATGTTTGTTATTT